TGTCTCTACTAAAAATACAAAAATTAGCCAGGCATGGTGACAGGCACCTGTAGTCTCAGCTACTCGGAAGGCTGAGGCAGGAGAATTGCTTGAAACCGGAAGGTAGAGGTTGCCATGAGTGGAGATCGTGCCACTGTACTCCAACCTGGGTGAAAGAGTGAAACTCTATCTCAAAAAAAAAAAAAAGCAAGGTGAAATCAGCATAAACAGAAAGGCACTCAGAAACTCAATGGCAGCCATGCTTGCACATGCTTGCACCCAGCAGAACATCCTTAGGACAGCAAACATGTTCCCTGAAAGTGCAGTTACCAGAATAGGCAATAGGTTCGACGCAGTCAAATCGTATAGCCACAGAGACACCTTAGCTCACCCAAATTAAAACAAACGAGAATATCAAACTTCCAACAAACAAAAGGATACATGCAAAGCAAACACCTAGCCCAGCAGATTCACAAAAATGACCACGGGTCAGAGGAAGGCCCAGAAATGTTTCCTTAATGGGTGCTCTGCGATTCCACCTCTTTTCCCCTCTTCACAGTTGCTGAATCACTTAATAAAAATGGATTTTTTCATTAGCTAGACCTCCTGTTTATCTGAGGTGAATCACACACTCTACTTTTCGAGCAAACTAAAGGCCAGAGTAAAACCCTTGAACATTTGATCGTGAGTCAACAGATATCCACCAACATCAGAAAGAGAAGTTACAAAATTGAAAGAAAAAGACAAGCTCTAAAGAGAAAGAGACAGCAAGGCACCTTTCAGAGGAAAGAAAAAAAAGATTTGTAACAACAACAACAACAAAAACCCGAGGTAAGAATTAAGTGATACTTGTCCAACACTCTCACTAAATGTAAATATGGACTTCATTAGACAGAGATGAAATTGGAAATAGTAAGAATAAAGACAGGTTAAGAAGCAGCTACTTAAGAGGTGAGCAGAAATAAAAAAAAGGACAGGTGAAATCATTCAAAGAAACTGAAAATACAAAAGTAGGAAGGTTAAGTATCACTGTGGAGGCCAAGCTTGAAGCCATCTCCTCTTAGGCTGCAGAGAAAAGCTATTCAGAGATGGGAACGGGAAGATGAGCAGACAGGTTGAGATCAGAGAACGAAGTTCCACGATGCAGGTCATTGAATGTTTTGGAAAAAGATCTCAAGACCTGGAATCTGCAGACAGAAAACGTTCACCGTTAACAAAATGACTGAAAAGGGACAAGCATTTGCTGTGTCCTGGTAAACGTTTTGAATTTTAAGAATAAAGACAGAATCCTTCAAGTTACCTAAAAGCAAGATAAAAGAAGTGGTCTAAGGCCTTTACTTAACACCATTACATACCGTAAGACCTGGAAGCAGACTCTGTAGAAATTTGAGGGAAAATATCTATGACTCACGAAAGCTATAGTCCACCAATATTTCATTTATAAGAGATTTAAGAAAAAAATTGAAAAGCCAGGCATAGTGGCTCGAGCCTGTAGCTCCTTGCTGCTTGGGAGGCTGAGACAGGAGAATCCCTTGAACCCAGGAGTTAGAGACTGTAGTGCACTGCAGTTGTCCCTGTGAATAACCATTGCACACCAGACTGGACAACATAGTGAGACACCATCTCTAAAACAAACAAAAATTGGATGTGCAAAAAATGTTTAATGTTGAAAACGTTACTTTATACTGTATACATATGGTATTATATATAATATGTATAAAGTACTATGTATTTCAATAATGTATAGATAAAATAAAAATTTCAAAGATCTATTATACAATTTAACAACAAAAAAGTAGTGGTTTATGCTGTATGTAAGTGATAAAAAATTCAAAGTAAGAAAGCAAATGATAAAAATGTTAAAGAAGATGATTATCTCGAGGGAAGGAAGGCAGAGGGTGGAATCTGGTAACTATACCAGTT